AAACTGCTCCTGAATTCCTGACCCAGAGACACCGTGTGCGATAATAAATGATTGGTGTTTCAAGCTGCTACATTTTGGAGCTTCAGGCTCCGCCCTGACTGGCACTGAGGTGTCTAGAGAAGGTTCCCCACCTTTCCCAGTCTCTGAGCTTTGATCACCATACCCCATTCTACCGCCTTATTTCAGACCAATCAAGTGCCCAGGACAAGTATCTCTGAAGGCTTTTTTAAAATAGTAGGAAGTCTATCTGTTAAAAGAAGATGAACTTTTTTTCTTAATAGGCTCCATACCCAACATGGGGCTTAAACTTAGAACCCTAAGAGTCATATGCTCCACCAACTGAGCCAACCAGGAGCCCCAAAAGAAGATGAACTTTTGAGGGGAAAAACAAATAAAGGGAAAGAGGACTAGTAATACTTTTCTGAGGTCCTATGAGGTTCTTTCCCTGCATCAGAAGGAGATACTTGAGGGCGCCTGGGTGGCTCAGATAGTTAAGCGTCTGCCTTCGGCTCAGGTCATGATCCCAGGGTCCTGGGATCGAGTCCTGCATCGGGCTCCCTGCTCCTTGGGAGCCTGCTTCTCCCTCTGCTTCTCTCTCTCTCTCTCTCTCCCTTTCTCTCTCTCCTCCTCTGTCTCTCATGAATAAATAAATAAAAATCTTTAAAAAAAAAAAAAAAAAGAAGGAGCTACTTGGGCTCTGAGGCCCAATTCTGCTGATTCCTGGCTGCCTGGTTTGGGGAAGTTACTTAATCTCTCAATCCCTGGGTTTATTTGAAAATACAAACATAATAATGCCTATTTGCAGGACTTTTATGATGATGAGAAATATTTAAAATAATGTTCATTAGGCAGGTAGGATGTGCAAAGCTCTACTACACTTTATATTTAATCCTTGTCCAACCCTTTGAGATGGATAATGTCCTTCTCTTCCTTTTACACTTGGGAAACTGAGGCACACAAAATGAACATGACTGCCCACAGCTAATAAGTACCTAATGTGCCTGACACATAGTACGCATCTTTGTAAAAGTTGCTGTTAGGATATCATTTAATCCTCCAAACCATTGGTTTTCCAGGTGAAAAAATGTGGCATCAGCAGGTTAGTGGGTCTCCCAAGTTCGAACTACAAAGTCTGCGCCCTTCCTCCCACCCCAACCACAGCGAGTCATGGAGTGAACAGCACTCCCTGGGGTGGTCGTTCTCCTGGTATTATTCCCACCCCCACAACTGCCCCCCCACCCCCCCACCCCACCCCTTGCTGGTGCTCCTGGCTCACGGGAGTTTCTAATTGCTGCCACAGGATGGAATGGGCCAGTTATCTAAATCGGAGACCTTAATTCATATCTGGTCCACAACCCAGTTTTGACAGACTGGTACAGCATCAGCTCAGGTTTTAAACACTGGAGCTGCCACATAAAACATGTAGATTTCTGCCTTCTCCGAGCCAATGACATGCGGGCTGGCCCTCCTGAGTGGCAAGCCACCTGGAGCAGAAGAGTACAGTCTCTTTTGAGATGGGGCCTGTGCCTTCCCATCTGCCACTGAGAGCAGAGCTGAAGGGCCCCCAGTGTCCTGCACACTCGATTTTCCTGTCAAGAGGTACTGATTGAACACCACCAATGACCTCCTGAGCTATCCGAGTCACATCATTGGCCCTGAGATGAAGGTGAGCAAATCATCTCAGCTCTGTGTCTCAGTCTCCTGCTTGACCTTGAGAACACCATTCTGATGGGATGTTTTCCTGCTTCCGTCCTCATGGATAACTGGATAAAAAGTATTGGCTACAGAACCTGAGCCAGAGCAGCCTATCAGAAGATCGGCAGAGAAATGGCTATTTTCCAAAACACTGGATGTGACTTGATGGACCTACCCCTTCGAGGGAAACTACTGTCGGAAGGAACCCCAGCCCCTTCAGATACAGCTCTGTGCCCACTTGTCGGCCCCACCAGCAGGGGGCTGACCTGAACAGGTAAGAATGGGAGAACCCAGGGAAAACTATTCTCCTTCTGTTTTCCTTCCCTGGGGTCTTAGTGGAAGCCTCTCTCTCTCTCTCTCTCTCTCTCTCTCACACACACACACACACACACAGAAATGGATGTGGCAGTCACTCTGGCTGCCGCCCAATGTGGCTTGCTAAACCAACAGTTCCTGTTTTCTTTTCCCACAAGGAAGAGACATAATGTAAGCTATTCCCAGGGAGAAAGTAGAGAAGGAAGAACAGCTTATTCCTGACCCATACTTGGAAATTCCCATGTGAGGCCACATAAGAGGAAAGGGGACCCTCCCTACCCACGTTGGGAGAGAAAGTATAAATTGGCATACCTCATTTCTGGGAGTCAATTTTACAGAAATTCTACTAGAAGAGTAAGAGATACATAAACCAAGAGACTACAGCACTGCCCGTGATGGAAGCAGTGAAGACAGCCTACACATGCCCAGCCATCAGTAACCGTTGGTGCGTCTATGCGGTGGAAAACCACAGTTCTGTTAGAAAACGCACAGTAGATCTAAGAGAAGAACACTGAAAAATTCCATGATGGTACATGAAAAAAGCAAGTTGCAGAATATGATTTAACTTATTAACTGCTTATATTTAACTAATGGGAAATTGGCCAGGCCAATTATGCACAGAACACAAAACATAAGAGTGAACAATGTATTAGCAAATGGTATTAGCAACTCTGCACACCATTCCACTCAACGATCCTGGGCCCCAAAGGGCTACCTGGGCATCATCAGTCTATGTCTCCTAGCACTGTGGGCTTCTCTGGGCTCTGGGCATCATTTTGAGAATTAAGAAGAATTGGTACTCCTTATCCCACATGGCCCCTGAACACAAGCCAACTACTTACTCTGGTCCTCGAGGGAGAAAGAGCAGCCTGTTGCAACTGTGCTAAGAGACAGAGAACAGAGAACCTTCCAAAGGGTAACCCTTCCTAATCCCTTCCCTTGCGTGAATTTTCCCTTGTGTGCAGCATAGTCTACAAACTCAGCAGTTTGACACAGTCACTATTAGCTCACAGTTCCTTTTTTTTTTAAAGATTTATTTTTTGAGAGAGAGAGAGAGAGAATGTGTGAGTGGGGCAAGGGCAGAGGGAGAGAATCCACAGGCTGACTCCCCACTGAGCACAGAGACTGACACGGGGCTTGATCTCACCATCCTGAGATCATAACCTGAGCCGGAACCAGAGTCGGAGGCTCAACTGACTGAGCCACCCAGGCGCCCCAGCTCACAGTTCTGTATCAGTAGTTGAGGCTCAGCTGGGTCTTTTTTTTTTTTTTTTTTTTTAAGATTTATTTATTTTAGAGAGAGCCTGCAAGCAGAAGGAGGAGCAGAGGGAAAGAAATCTTCAAGCAGACTCCCCACTGAGCATGAGCCCACTGTGGGGCTCAATCCCAGGACCCAGAGTTCATGACCTGAGCTGAGATCAGGAGTCCAACGCTTAACTGACTGAGCCTCCCAGGCGTCCTATCCGCTGGGTTTTATGCTCAGGGTATCACAAGACCAGGATCAAGGTGTTGGACAGGTTGGGTTCTTACTCAAGACACTTTGGAAAGAATCTGCTTCTAAGCTCATTCAAGTCTTTGGCAAGATCCAGGTCTTTGTGGTCTGAGATCTATTTCCTTGCTGGTTACCAGCCAGGGGCCAACACCTTCCTTCTCATGTCCCCCACCCCAGTCTTCAAAACAGCAACATTTTGATCCCTTCCGATGCTTCAAATCTATCTGATGTCTTCTTCCCCCAGAGAAAACGCTTGCTTTTAATGGGGCTCATGTGATTAGACTGGACCCACCTGAATAATCTATCTTCAAGGCAGCTCCTACGTTAAGCCACGTAACTTAACAGTCATGGGAGGGTTATCTCATCATGTTGCTAGGTTCCAGAGGTTAGGACAGGGCGTCGGGAACCAGGGGGAGACATTTCAGAAATGCTGCCTACCACACAGCCCGTAAATGAAGTGACGTGTCAGTGCTCATCTCGTGAGTTTTGATGGTTGTGTTGTGGTTGTGTAGCAGAAAGTACTTGTTTGCAAGAAATCCACACTACAATATTCAGGATGATGGAGCACCAGACCAGCAATTTACTCTCATCTGACTTGGTATTAAAAAACAGTTCTTTGTATTATTTTCCTAAAATTATTCTATACATGTGCACACAGAGAGATAAAAAAGATAGCTATGGACACATGTGTTTGTATATAAAAAGGAAAATATCTGGAAAAATTTAGAAAGATAGATTCAAAAGTTACCTGTGATTACCTCTGGGAAACAGAGTTATTTAAGGCGGAAAAGAGGTCCACAACTTTTATTTGGGGGCTATTTTTTTAAAAAAAGAAAAAAACAAGAGAAAGGTCTTTGAAAAGGAGAGCAGGAGGCTTGCTGCTGGTTTCGTGACAGAGAGTGAGCGGATACAGGAGGGGCCGGGCTGAGGCCGAGAGTCAACGATGAGGCAACGGGACACCTCAGCGCCGTTACCGTCCTGGGCCTCTCGCAGAGCTTCCGAGAAATCAAATTTAGAATAAAATCCGTATTGAGGTGACGGGAACGGAGGGAACTTCTGCCGGCTGTGAGGGCGCGCCACACCCCAACAGCACTGCCCAGACAAGGTTTCCAGCTTCTCTCTGCCATTTGCTTTTCGGTATTGAAAAGACTGGTGTTGCTCAATCCCTTTAGTTAACAGTACACGTCTTTAGCATCTTGTCTAATGTCTTCAAGCACCTTGAGAACCTGTCTGCCCGATGGCGCTCCAAGTCACAGATAATAAAGAAAGGGGACAGCAAGCACATTTTCCTGTGTTGGGTTGAATTGTGTCTCCCTAAAATTGCTATGTTAAATCCTAAACCCTTGAACTTCAGAACATGCCCTTATTTGCAGAGAGGGTCTTTCCAGATCCTATCTTTACCGAGGGAATCAAATGAAATTGAGGCCATCGGGGTGGGGCCCACTCCGACACGACCGGCATCCTTGTAAGAAAAAATGAGGACCCGGACTCACAGAGAGAAGACGATGTGAAGACAGAGGATGGCCACCCACGAGCCCGATTCTTGCGACTTTGTCTATGTTTGAAGTATTTTCAAAATAAAGTGAAAACTTTAAATAAATAAAAGTGAAGACAGAATGAAAGAGAGTCAAGCTCGTCGGGAGCCCGGTGCAGATCCCAGGCAGCAGAGGCCTGCGAGGACCTGCAGCATCGGGGCAAAGCCCGGGGGCCTTCCAGAAAGGGCTGGCATTTAAATCCAGGTTTTAAATGGCTTTATTTTTCCCTCAAGTATTTTAATGTCCTTGCACTATTAAAGGGATTTGAGTCTAGAAAGAATCATGAATGGTTCATGGTCCGACAAGCGATTAAAGAAAGCCATGTATTGATTCCGGTGACACTCATGATTGGCTTTGACAAAAGCTGGGCTGGAGGAAGGGCTCTTGTGGGTTGGGGGATGTTGCTCTCCTCTCTCAATTCAGCCACAAAGGCCCGCCTGCTTTAGAAGATTCCAGATCAGGCTTGCCACCAACAACGTCCTCACCTCCGATGATCTGCTCCAATGGCATCTGTGATTCTGGTAAAACCCTGCTCCCTGGAAAAAAGAGAAAACAAAGCAATTTCAGCAAATGGTGAAGGGCAGGCCCTGCTCTCGCTGGAAGCCCACGTTCACCTAAGGCTGTCAGCGCCGTCCCCCAGAGGCATGCCTTGTGCCTCCACCTAGGTCTTCACACCAGGAAGGGAACCAATGTCAAGTATTCACAGCTCCCTGACCTCAAGCCAATGCTACTCAACAGGGATGCTGCCCAAACTCCTCAGGCCAATAAACACCACCGTCTTCGAAGTTAATCTTGAATTCCTTGGCCCTGTTTGTCCTTTGTCAGTCTTTCCCTGTGTTTTTGAATCCTTTCTGAATGAGGAATAATAGCATCTCCTTCACTTGAGTCATTCTGAATTGATACCACCTGAACTTCTATTTCAAGCCACCCGTGGCCCCACTCACTTCAAAAGGGCCTCCAGCTCCCGCTTGACCCTGCCCACCACGGGCGGCCCGTGGTAGGTGAGGGCCGTGTACAGCTGCACCAGGGAGGCCCCCGCCCGGATCTTCTCCAGCGCGTCCTGCCCACTGCTGACCCCGCCGACCCCAATGATGGGGACTCCGCCTGCACCGGAACACATGCAACAGTGTGAGGAAGGGCGGGAAATGCGAGCACCTCAGTTGGTCTTCCACCCTCTGGCCCCTGGTGAATGCAGCAGTTCAGGGAACGCTGATTCGGATCAAACCCCAGAGCCCGACGAGTCGCACGCAAATGTGAAGACACAGGGACCAAATTCTTGCCTTTGGTGAGTGCATACATCTCCTGGATGGTTTGGGTTGATAAGTCCCGGAGGGGCTTCCCACTCAGCCCTCCTATTTCAGAGCGCAGGGCACCCTGGAGGCTGGCAGGGCGGCTCACTGTGGTGTTGGTGATAATCAATCCATCGATGCCCAACTGCAGTGTGAGACAGAGAAAGAGCCCTCCAGTCAAGGCACAGAGCTGGAGAAGCTTCCCTGAGGGTCTGAGCCAGGAGCCGGGCCAGGTGCCCACACTACAGCCCCTGGAAGCAAGAGCCGTAATAGAGCTCACTATGTTTATAGAACAGGTGTCTGGAAGAGCCTCAACATAACCATAGCAGCCATCACATATCGACTACCCATAAGGTTCCACTAGGACAGGGTTTAATCCTTAGAACCACTCTGTTTAGTCCTGCCCAAGGTCCCTAGGTAGTAAGTGGTGGAATACGATTTGAACCCAGGACTTCCAGGTTCAGTCTGTGTTTCCACTACTCTCCTATGACACTGGGAGCTGGGGTCAGACTGGAGAGAGGGACAGAATACCCTAGTCTGACCCAGGATGCAAGCACTAGCCTTAAAGCCCTTGCTGGATGAATGTGAGCAAAGAGGGGAGGGAAGAAGTACAGTTAAATGACACATCCCAACATTGGCTTTGTATTCTGTGATGAGTTACATCATGACAGATACCAAACCAGCTCTCACTATCACAGAAAGGAAGCCATTACTAGTCCAGCTGGCCAGATGCCCCCCTACCCGGCAGTGAGGGGCGTCCCAGGGCCCAGCCCGACTCGCACCTCTCTCACCACATTGGCGATATCCTCCTTGTCCTGGGCTGTGAGGTCGGGTGCAATCTTCACCAGCACGGCTGGCTTGCGTGCTCCCTGCAGGGCGTCCCTCTCCTGCAGCACCTAGAGCAACACGTGGCCAGAGATGGGGACCCCTAAGGCCACAGCCCCCAGTGCACCTGACCTGCAGCCGCAGATCAGCATATTCTCACACATAAGCACCAGCAACATCTCCTTTTCCGGAAATACAGCTCTCAGTTATGCCAAAGACCCCCACCAAGATGGATTGGATTATCTTGAACCAAGGGATCCCCAAGATTAAGTCCCTAATGTTGTCGTTGGTATTAGCTAATACATGAAGGTTTATTTAGACTTTTTTCCTAAAAGAGAGAACAAGGAAATACTGTCACAAGTACTATTTGATAAAGAGTCATCAAATTCATTCATTCAGTGTGCTCACTGCTAGGGACAGCGAGACCCGGCCCCCTGCTCTCTCAGATCTTCTGGTTTAACAGCAGGGACAGGTGCCTGAGCCATTAATCACTGTTGAGCGTAATCAGGGTGACGATAGAGGATTACGAGTGTGGCAGGGGGTCCTATCGGTCCAGGTGCTAAGGACAGCTCCTCGACAGTGACCCTGAAGCTTCCTTCCCTGGAGAGAAAGAACCGGACAGGCTGGCGGACGGAGCCCGGACATGTAATTGCCTACCTTGGTCAGCAGGTGGCGCAGCTCCGCCTTTCCCTGAAGGCTCCGCAGCCCAGCGGTGTTGGGACTGGACACGTTCACTACCAGGTAGTCAGCCAAGGGGCCCAGGACGCGAACCCCCTCCGCGTAGTCCGCAGCAGCGTCCACCGAGGTCTTATTCTTCCCCAGATTTATTCCCAGTGGCAGCCCCTCTGTGAAGATCGCTCGTCAAGATTTTGTCCCCAAACGCCATTTCCCATGCAACATGCTCAGGATGCCCCGCGCACCTCCGCATGGGACCTTCCCGGTCGGACCGGCCAACACCACGAAAGCTGCGGGCGCGGCTGCCTCCTCACCGAGAGGAGCTCACCGTCCTTGCGCAGCAGTGTCGGGGCAACTTCTAGGATGTTTTACTGCATTGTGCCCTTTTTCTTTTTTAAAAAATTTAGGGGAAAACGGTGAAATTAGGAGTGCAAATACTAGCCATAAAAAGGTAGGGCTCATAAATGTAATGACGACAGTCAGAAATCCACAGGCATGTCAGAAGAGGCAAATGTTTACTGTCAAGGGCTGTCTGTTGGCCTTGAGTCCAGTGACCCCGTGGGCAGTGGTGAAGAAACAGCAAGATTAAAGAACATGTACACAATACTGGAAAATGCTTTCCATTAATCATGCCTAAAGTATAGAGGTAGAATTATTTTATAACCCAGAATTTCAGTTCTCTGAGAAGGGAGGCCCCCTCAGAACGAGGGTGAGCGCACATCCCAGCGGTCCCTGATGGCTCCTGTAGCCTGGGCATCATGGTGAATGCCCACACCCTTCACTCTCCAAAATGTCTCCATTTGCACAGTAAGTATGAAGGCAACCAACTTAAAAATCCATGGGGTTATCGACTTGCATTTTGAACTTTTAGAAAAATACATTTCAGAAACATGCCATGCGTGAAAGCAAGAGGTTGTCTGTACTTGACTTGTAAGCTACCATGCTATCTGCAAAGGTCACTGGTATGTCAGTGGTGCTGGCTGCTTTTTTGCAGCTGGTGGTTGGGAAAAGACCTGGAACAGCAAGTGAGCCTCCAAAACATGTGTCAGGTCGGTGGGATCAAAGAGCAGCATCTACTGTTGCTAACCACCTCTTCAAACCCTAAACTGGTCACCCTTTTAATCACCAGCTTGAAAGTAAATATTTCCTGGGGGAAGGGAGGTGAGGAGGGGGTTAGCACCCAATTAGACAAAAGTTCCACAAGGCCTTCAAGCTTCCCAAGTCCAGCCTCCACCAGGCCAAGCCATCTGTAAACTGATTCTTCCCTCACAGGTAAGCTGGCTTTAAAAAGAGCATTCCTTTCATGCAGCTAATGCGTCTTCCATCAGCAGTTAGCTGCCCAAAGGGCCAAGACTTTGATGTTAGAAATTTCTGAATTACTCTGTCCTCAAAAGGCACCACAGCTTTTGTCAATTCTGTTCCTCATTGTGCTCACAATAAGCTGTCTTCAAGTCTTCTAGCTGCTGGAAAACAACATGGGCAGAACTCTGCTCTAAGATTCTGCTTCACTCCAATCAATGTTCGTGTTGGGGTGGGGTGAGGGGACGGGCAAGGGAGAACAGGGGAGAAAGCTTACACTGGGAACAAAGAAGGAAAGGATTTAAAAAAAAAAAAGGAAAGGAAAGGAAGGCAAGAAGGCAGGAGAGCATCACAAGCCATGGAGGTCCTATTATAAGGTTCAAAGTTCCCCAAATGGGAAGGTCTATAGTACTCAAGGTCTGCATCTACCAAAGCCTGGGATTTCCCAACAAGGTCACTTACTCCTAAAATCGGAGATTGCCGACTGACTCGGCCCTTTCAACCTCACTTCCTCGAGTGAAGCTCCTGTCCACAGGTTTTTCTCATCTCACTACCAAGCCATTTAATGAGACTAAACTCCTGGAAAGAGGTCCACAGGGACCCAATGAGGAAAATGGCCACAGCCCCACACAATCTCAGAGGGCAACTGGGAAGGCGTGGTGAGGACAAAACAGTGCAACGAGCACCTATGTGCAGCCTGAGGGACAGCAAAGCAGAGCCGCCAGAGAACATTCGGCAGCATCCCTGAAGGTAGCCTCCCGACATGCATGGTGTTTCTGAACAAGTCATGATGGATATTTTCCCAAATGCCAAGATCAGCTCTCCCTGAGTAGGAAGGAGTATGAGTAATTTTAATTGTCTTCTTTACGCTTCGCTGTATTTACTAATGCTTCTGTAATTAACATGCATTATTTACATACACACAAAAGGACAACAAAGCAAGACAGGAAGATGGCGCTCCAGGCCTGCTCACATCTCAACCACCCATGTGACCACAGAGGAGCCGCTTTGTTCTGCTCACTTCCAAGCTGCCCCAGTTATGATATAACCCAGGTTATATAACGAGGCAGAAACTAAGCAAGTCTTTGCTAAATTGTGAAATTCAGTTAAACTCTTGGTGGCTGTGGTAAAGCCAGGAAAATTCCCGAGTTCCATAGTGGTTTTTTTCCTATTACTCAGTCATGTTTATTTCACTAGGAATGTTCCTGACATTTCTCCCACAGGTTTCCTTCCAATAAATGAAGAAAGCCCCTCTAGAGCACCCCCACTTTACCTTCTGTGAGCCTGGCCTGTTTCTCCTGTCTGGCCCGCAACCTGTGTTCCACCACCGAGAGTCCGTGACTGTTAAATCCATATCTGTAGCACAGAAGTGGGTAGGGAGGGGACAAGGTTAGAGCCCTCAGCCAAAGGCAGAGACTTTGTAGAGATGGATTCATGGTCATTTCCACTATACTTCTGACTTTTAGAAACAGAAAAAAAGAAAAAAAAAAAGTCAGTTCTTAGACTTCCAAAGTCTAAACACCCCTGGAACTCCTAGAGAACCTGCCAGAACACCATCAAACATAGAGGGAAAGATTTAAATTTGTAAACAAGCTGCTCAGGTACCTAGCACTGGCAACAGCCCAGACACACCACATAGCTGCCCCAGACCTGTCTGGATCGGCCCCCCCTCCTTACTCACATACTCCTCCCACCCGGAGTGGCCTCTCTGACCACCCCATCTTCTACCTCCTGCCAGCGTTCCACTAACGCCCTCCCAGAGAAGAAATAATAACCAACGCCTATTGGCTAAGCCCCTTTGTTACTTGCAGCCAAAACCACCGAACAGATACATCGGCACCTGTTTCTGTGGACTTAATAAATTATTCCATTCATTCAGCAGGTGTTTACTGGGTACCCACTCCGTGCCTCCCAGAGCAAGGAGGCTGAACACACAGGCTCTCCTCCCTCAACCACTTCTCGCCTATGGATTCTGCTGAGTACCATTGTCCTGGTACCTGCAGTTACCTGGGGAAGCCAAATCCTAAATCTATTTTGCCTGGAAATTCTGAAGATACCAATCCCAGCCTGCAATGCAACAGAAAGATCAATAACTGCATTTCCAATGCTGGAAAATTTCCCTGAAACAAGCACAATAAAGCAGGATGTGTGGCCAAATAAAATTCCCAGAAGGCAGTCTTCCAGAAGGCCATCACTGGGCCCAAAGGTGCCTATCAGAATCTCCCAAGGAGGTTCTCAAAACTCTGTTACCAAAAAGTAGGAACTTTTTCATTTTCTGGGTTTGCTGCAGTGAATATTGTCTAGGGATTACAAAGAGAAGGGCTTTACATGATCTAGAAGGCTCTGTCTTACTAAAAGCAGCTGTACATGTGGATTATTAAATTTTTCAGTTTACTAAAGGCCAGGGCTACACCGTCCAATTCAAAAACTGCTAGCCACATGTGCTGCTGAGCACCTGAAATGTGGCCAGTCCAGTGTGCTCCAAGTCATGTGCACCCTGGATTTTGAAGACTTAATACCAGTAAAAGAAGGTAAATAGCAAATTAATCGTTTTTATTTTGATTATATGTTAAAATGGCATTTAGAACACATGAAGTATTTATAGTTAAATATAATAATCGTAAATTAAATAGAATATGTTATTAAAATCAATTTCACCCATTTCTTTTTCCTGTCTTACTGGGGCTACACGAATATTTTAAGTTACATACAGAGCTCACATTCTATTTCTACTGGACAGTGCTGAGCAAGGACACTGGAGTAACAATGTGGAAAAAGCACAAGCTCTAAAGTCAAATTTAAGTCCAAATCCATACCCAAGCTCTCTCGCTTATGATCCCACGATTATAGGTAAGTCATGTAGCTCTCTGAGCCTCAGCGTGTATGTGCATTAAACTAGAATACCAAAACCTGCTTTTATGCCTGCACACAGGAGATGCTCAACATGGTTCCCGAACATTCCAAATAGCAGAAAAATGTCCACACTGTAGAACAGAAAAAACCGGCAGATCTTATATCGCTGAGTGCCCTCCTGGGAAGAAGGCCTCCCCTGTTACCTGTGGGCTATTCATCTACCTGTTAATGACAGCTTGGTCCTCAGGGAGGCGGAAGACTCTGGGTCTGGGGTTTCCTTCCTGAGGTTTCGGAGTCACACTGCCGATCTCAACAAAACCGAAGCCCATCTTGTAAAGTCCGTCCACAGCTTCCCCATGCTTATCAAATCCTGCAGCAATTCCAACTGGATTTCGGAATTTATGGCCCAGGACTCTCACTTCCTAGGAAGAAGGAAACAAAACCAGAGGTACACAGGCTATGCCGGTGTTTGTCCAAGGGCAGGCCGCAGCACATCTAGGTCAGAACTACCTACAGAGCTTGTTAATCAGGAGGTGTTCCGAGAGCACCTACCAGCATGTCAGAGTCTTGAAACGTGGCCTGAGGAAGGAGCCCCAGGGAGGTGATGCGAACGGCCAGCCTGTGGGCTGACTCAGGGTCCAGAAGCCTCTGCATAGCCGGCATCAAGTGTTCAGCGTAGAAATGTTCATCCCCCATAGCTGTGAGGTAGGAAGTGAAGAGAAGTCCTCCACCCCCCAGGATGACCACAGCATCCTGGGCCCGCTTCTGGGGGGGCGGGAAAAAGGCCCACTGAGATTCCTTCCAGGCCAGACTGCAGTAACTTCCCTGAGCCCTTTACACCCATGCACACGGGACATAATGACATGTCACATGAAGCAATGTCCCTAGCCTTCTGCTAACACTGGTCTCCTTCATTTCTAGTTCTGCTCACACATTGACCTCTACTTTCAGCGGCTTCATCCACACTTCTGACAGTCATCGTGCCCTGAAGGACTCCAGGCCAGAGGTTTCAAGAGAGGCAGTATTGCCTCCTAGGGGACCTGTGGTAGGCATTTTGGAGGAATGCTAAGAGATTTAGTGGGCAGGACTCAGTAAAGGCAGACATCCTGCATTGTTTTAGGCTATCTGACAGATGAATTGTCCCTGTCCTGTATGACTTTTGAACATCTTACACTCAGTATGTAAAAAGTATATTATCTGAGCCTATATTCCACCACATAAACACAAACTATCTCCTGCACAGTTTTCATATACATTGACTTTTCCAGGAATGCAATTCCCTCATAAACTGAGGGACAACTGCACTATTTTGCACAGAACATTACCAAGGATTGTTCCCCATTTCAGAGATCTCAGAAATGGTATAGTGCTTTGCTTGGGTGTTTGACAATAAAACATACCCGAGGCGCTAGAATTTTTTTTTTTAAGATTTTATTTATTTGTCAAAGAGAGCTTGAGTACAAGCAGGGGGAGCAGCAGGCAGAGGGAGAAGCAGGCTCCCCATTGATCAGGGAGCCCGATGCGGGGCTAGATCCCAGGACCCTGGGATCATGACCTGAGCTGAAGGCAGATGCTCAACCAACTGAGCCACCCAGGCATCCCTGAGGCTCTAGAATTTCTAAATAGAGGCTTAAACACCTGACTATATCTCACTGAGTCATGCTGTAACATTTACATGCTGTTGTTATAAATTCCTTTATTTCTCTTTTATATTCCAGTTAGGACATTAGTTGAACTTTTAAAATTATACAAAGACAGATTACATTATATATAAATTCTACTTCAGGATAATAAAAGCAGTTGCAAAATATTTTTTTAAAGATTTTATTTATTTATTTGAGAGAGAATGAGAGACAGCATGAGAGGGAAGAGGGTCAGAGGGAGAAGCAGACCCCCCGCTGAGCAGGGAGCCCGATGTGGGACTCGATCCCGGGACTCCAGGATCATGACCTGAGCCGAAGGCAGTCGCTTAACCAACTGAGCCACCCAGGCGCCTGCAAAATATTTTTTTAAAAAGGAGCATCAGGTCTTATTGAGTCAAGAATCACTATCCTTTTCAAAACGTGCTTCATAATGCTTTTCTCTAGTTATCATTGCCAGGTGATGAGTCATTCATTCATTCATTCAATCATCTGCCCAACAGTGATAGAGCACTCTTGAGGTGGGCTAAGCAGGGTCCCTGCCTCTCAGGAGGAGACAGTCACTAGTCAGTGATCACGCAAATATGTAACTGTGAGGACTGCCATGAAGAAGAAAACGTATAGGGTAATAACAGAACCCAAACCAATCTCAGAGGTAGAGGAAGGCTTCCTTGAGGAAGTGACTTAACGCTGACATTCAAAGGATAAATAGGAGTTAAGTGGACGCAGTAGGGGGCAGGAAAAAGAGTAAAGGCGCTCTCAGTGGCAGACGGTAAAGAGATGCACCCAAGGAAGAGGGAAAGGAGAAAGGCTTGTTGGAAACCAAGGAATGAGGAAAAGCGCGGCTTAAAAAGGAGCTGGGGAGATAGGCAGGGACCCTGGCCAGAATAAAGATTTGAGTTTTGCTCGCTACACAAGTTAGTGACGTGATCAGATCTGCCCTTGAGGATCACTCCCAGCTGTTAATACATAACAAGTATTTATTGTCTTGCTTCTAGTCTCCAGCGGACTGTAGAAATGCCCCTTAATGTCAATCAACAAGTATCTGGACGCGGTTACACAAGCTGTGCATTAAACTAGAATACCAAAACCTGCTTTTATGCCTGCACACAGGAGATGCTCAACATGGTTCCCGAACATTCCAAATAGCAGAAAAATGT